CCCCTCCCCTCCATCAACCCTCAGTTGAGAACCACTGGCTTAGATCAAGACACTCTGCTGATCAAAAAGGCACTGCCGACTGACTTGTCCTAAGGCTCCTGCTGGTTCCTGCCGCCTGGATAACTCCCTGCTCCCCCCATTAGCTCCTTGCAATTCAATCCTCCCCCTGACCTCCTAGCCCCTGCAGCTAGTCCTAAATCAGCTGTTCTAGGGTCTAAAAATACCTTCCCTACCCCAAGACAGCTGAGGGGTTGAGGTTATTTTCTGAGGGTAAGAATAGCGGGCGCTTCAGAGGTAATTTCAATAAGAGGCCAAGAGCCAATATAGGGATACTTTGCTTGGCTCCTCTACCTTCAGTTTTAGCTCTGAATGTTTTAAAAGTCTAATTCATGAAAGGGCAATGATTAGGTATGCGCCTGTCTGGGGTGGCAAGCAACTTACCTTTTTTGGTATTGTTCTAGAGTGGATACTGGTTAAAATTACCCCAGGAAGCTTTGGCCTGGTTCCAGACACATGGAAAATAGACTTCATGAGCCAGCCTGAGCTGACGCCTTTAGCAGCCGTCCCTTCTCCCTGGGGTTGTTCATCTCTGAGGCCCCCACGGCCCGCTCTTGGGGCTTTAGGACGTGGCCTTCAAGCCTGGTTGTGGGGTGAGGGCGTGGGAAGAACTGAGCTGCAGGAGGATTGCTCTAGTCCGGGGAGAGCCTGAGTTCCCTGGGGCATAGGGATTGGGCAGGGAAAATCCTCATCCGGGTGGGACAGAGAGCCTCAGTAAATGCCAGTTAGTTTTATATGGATGCTGCCTTTTCCTCTGTCTGGGTTTCAGTATTCTCGTCTGTGAAATGAGCAGGTGGGATTTAGGATCTTTGGGGTCTTTTCCAGTGTTACCATTCTGCAGCTTAGGAGCGTGGCCTCATAAGCCTGGGCTGGCAGCTGGTCCTTCCCAGTCCCCTGGTTTAAAGGCAGCGCAAATTGCTCAGGACCTTTGGAGGTCCAGGGAGAGCAGCACTGGGTCTGCACCGTGCCCAGGAACCTCTTTTGGTTTGAGTTGATGTGTTTCCCGTTTTGCATTGTCTGGTGAGAAACCCCCACTCCATGAAAATAGGGGCCTTATCTGCCTCCTTCAGTGCTGCATCTCTGGCACCTAGCATGGTGTCCAGTGCAAAATGGGATGAAGGGCTTGGTGAATGAATGCATGCATGCATGCATGCATGCATGCACGCATGGAGGCCTCTAGGGGGAGCTCAAGATCTGCCCCAGCTCCTGTTGCTCCTTCAGAGGTGGATCAGGAGCAAGGCATTCCTCTCGCCCCTACCATTCCTTAGTTATCCCCAACTCTACCCTCCACAACCTCCCCTACTTCCAGGTGTTGAAGTTTCACTTAGGTCACCTGCTCTGGGAGTGGAATCCCTGGGAAGAGTTTTAAATGTCCACCACACTGCTCCAGGACTATTGCTGATGAGTATGGCCTCCTTCCTTCTTTGTTTGGCAGATTATAGGGCTCTCTGTTGCTGCAAATGCTCTCTCTTCTCCCAGAAGGCTATGGGCCCTTTGGGGCTCCTGTCCTGGGCTGAGAAGGCTAGGCTGGGCCCTGGGGCCAAGGTTTCCTGCTGGTCCCCATGCTCCTTTCTGCTATCTTCAGGAATCTCTGGATTTTCCTTGCAGGCAGAGGTGGTGAGGTCCTGCTCCCGGGTCGGGGCTTGAGGAAGCAGGCCAGCAGGAAGTGTGGGCATTTTGGCCGGCGTTGGTACTGAGCTGTTCAGGCCTGTCTACCCAGATAAAGGAAGTTCCCGAAGAACGAGCCTCCTTCACTGCAGTCAGGCTGGGGCATGGAGCCAAAGCCCCTGCTGAGGACTGGGGATCAGGTGTAACTGTCCTGGTTTGCCTCTTCTGTGCGCATAGCCTTAGGAATGCAAGGGATGGATGGTTATCCAGGACAAGTTTGAAATTGGCCTTGACCCTCTGGCCCAATTCCAATGCTCATCAAAGACACCATGACAGCCCATGGCATCTTCATTTCAAACATAGACCATGAAAGGATGTCATTACATATTGATTCCACTGGCCTTGAGAAGAGGGCGAGGGCACAGCCCCATCCTGCGTGTCGTTGACATCGTGCGTCTAACACCCTTTCCACTTTTCCAAATTTGCGGTTTGGATGAGACCACCTCTGCTCCAGGGGAGGGACTTGGCTCTTCTAAGCGAATCAGCTTCATTTCATCCCTTGTGTCCTGATGACTGGTCTAGCAGCAGAGACGTAAGCCAGTCAGCATGCATGGCATTTGCTTGGTCACTGCGCATTGGTTCAGCAGGGACCCAACTGGCCCAGAACCAGCTTTGGTTCACAGGTGGGAGAGATCTCTTGGCAGCCATCCTTGACCAGGAGAGAAGAAAAGGGTCTGGCACGACACAGAGCTGATGCTTGCTCTGTGCCTGGACTCTCATAACCGGTAAGACCTTGTAATTGCTTAGGCCAGTTTAAGGTTGGTTTTCTACTACTTCAGCCAAAAGCATTCTTACTGATGTGCCGGCCTCGTAGTTCCTATAATAACCAACAAGTACGTGCTACCTGCACTTCAAAGGCACCATCTTCTTCACTACCACCTCTATCACCCCAGCATAGCAAAAACGCCTCCGCCTACTTGCAGGGTATTTTGTCCCATGCTGAATTCAAATTTTTTTTTCAAGATTTTATTTATTTATTTTAAAGAGAGAGTGAGCGTGCATGTGCCAGCAAGAGCAAGGGTAGGGACAGTGGGGGAAGGAGAGGGAGGAGGAAAGTATCTCAAGCTGACAGCACTGAGCAGAGTCGGAGGCAGGGCTTGATCCCATGACCCTGAGATCATGACCTGAGCTGAAACCAAGAGTCAGAGGCTTAACCGACTGAGCCACCAGGGCACTCCTGAATTCAGTTATTTTTAGGGAGACGCTCCAGATTTAAGCCCTCTGAACTCACCAAGAGACCTTGGGTGAGTTATTTCCTCAAGCTGGGCTGTTGTCGCCATCTCTACAGAAAGACGGAAGTTGGCTGGATGACCTTGGGAGCCGTTCCTGTTAGGAAAGCACAGTATCAGTACTGTTTGGCAGTGCTATGTCCTCATGGTTTCTGGGCCCTCCCCCAGACCCAGATTCAGCAGTTCTGGGTGGGAACTGGGCATCAGTCTCAGCTTAACCTCAGAACTCCATCCCGACACCTTTTCCTCCTTTTTTGTGCTGGGGTGAATGTTTTCGGGTAAGGTAGGCTGCTCTCCACCATCTGGGCCCTTGTATTCTTGCAAGAAAGATCCACCCTATTACTCTTCAACCCGTGCATAATGGATAGAATGGTCGACTCTTCCAGGTGCCAAGGAAAAACTTTCCTCTTCTTATGGCCTGGTGTATTTCCCTTTTTCCACTGGTTGCCAGGAAGCTCAGAAGTATACTAACAGCTTCACTGAGGTAACCATCTCAGTAACCATCTCTTGCTTGGGTCCCACCATAGCCATCTC